TTTAAAAATAAAATTTTATTGATAGTTGCTTATTAAAAATTTTTAGTTTTTAAAAAAATTATCACCGCCATTACTTTCGCCGGAGACTGTATATAACAATAATAATAAATAATAATTAAGAAAAAACTAACAACAATAGTTAATTATTTAATAATAAAAAAATTAATGATACTAACCATTTATCTGTTCAAGCAACAGGCGTTGCTTCTGAATAAGCCCTTTCAAACAATTTCATCTCAAATGAACAAGTTGGAGTCGCACACGGCTAGAGCGATTTTCTGTGGATTTAAAGTAAAATAATGCTTTAATAAATAAATTTTTATACATTAGTATTCAAACGACTATCAAACCAGTCTTTAACCGGTACTTGTTCTTCCAAAAAAATACCGGACCATCTCAACCTTTCCCGTAATGCAATTAACAAATATTTTTTAGAGATAATGTTTCGCATGTGCCTTCACGTGTATTAGGATCAACAAGCTTTTGAAATCAATAAATATTTGTCAAGTGAGAATAGTTTATCATTTTATTTTACTGCATAAATAAAAAATGGTATTTTTTTATACAAGTATATTTGAATCAATAAACTGAAAATAGACTTATTATTTCATTTTGTAATAAACTGGTATTTTTTATATTTATAAATTATCTATTATATACTATGCTAAAAAGTATTTTTGATCCGGGTCCTGTGGAAAGGCGCCCGTGAGAGTCCGGGAATTATGCTATGTAACATCAATTTTCCACTTCTTTAGACCATTTGACGCAAAAGATTTAATCTTTTATACTTATCTATGACGGTTTTATTCGCTTCAAGCTATTAATGTCAAATGAAAGAATATATAGTAAACCCAGGAAGGAAGGAAAGAATCTTTTCATTGCCACATATATTTATCCTGACACAAACATATTGTTAAGAATTAACAATTATTGTTTAATCATATAATACTAATATTAATTAATATCAAAAAAGAGTTAGATTTGTTATATTGCTTAATTAAAAAAATCAATCGAGTCTTTGCATCTTTGTATTCTCAACTATATAAACAGCCTCTTCTTAAATAAAAAAGAATCGGGGAGTAGTGCATAGCGTGGCAAAAGCAATTTCAAAGAACTGAATATTTTCCCATGCAATGCAAAATTGCTTAATTGGTAATGAAAAAAAAAGTGAACGTAAAATCAGTTAATCATATTAAGAATTTGATTTTGCAAAATCTGATACAGAAATTTTTTTCGTTAATTAATGGTTTTGAGGACTAGGAAAAAAAGATTTCTAAAAACGCATCAATTAAAAATCATGTCTAGTTATTGCGTGTAATTAATGTATTTTGGTGACTGATACATGAGATTTGGATAAAAGAAAATAAAAAAAGGTAATCGGGTTTTCATGGATCACAAATTTTAATTATATAATGATTTCCTCTATTACTAACTCTACAAATTATAAGAAACGAAACCTGTACAAAAACCTGCGAAATTTATTTTCGTTACACAGAGTCTCGATTAATTGAAGGTTCAGCCAGAACGGTCTAATAACAAAACTATAACAGATAATATATCTTTCTTTACTAACGGGATTTCTCGATATAACGGTTTTTTGGAATTTACCGTGTAATAAAAATAAATAAATTTAAAGTGGAGTTTTTTTTGGGCGGCTTAGGAATAGGAATAGGAATAGTACAGATATACAGATGTTAAGAGAAAAACTGCGGTGACAAAAAATTGCATACACATACAAACTTGATAAGTCGGCCCGCAGTAATCAATTGTTTAAAGTACTCGCTAATATAAATTATGCGGCCGACTTATCAAGTTTGTATGTGTAATTAAAAAAAAATTTAGGCCAATTTTCTGTAAATCTTTTTTTAACTTTGCTAAATTTTAACACACATACAAAAAATTATACCGGCCTGTAACAAAAGTCCCAGAGATTATGTATATAAAATTCCATACTTTGATTTTCTAGAATTTCGTCATTTGTAAATAAAAGAAATTTGATTATTTTGAAAAATCAATTCAATGCGTAAATTTCTTTAATAATTGCTCTAAGCCTACATAACAATATGCTTCAAAATTTTTATATATTATAATCTAAGATCCTCCGATTCTCTGGTATAATTTTTATTATATAGCTGGCTACTTTTTCATTAAAAACAATATTTTACAAACCGCCGTTTTTTTTTCTTAACACACCGTACTAGTACATACATATAATCAACTCATTTTTAATCACCAATCCGAAGAAATTTTCATTCAGAATAAGTATTCGAATTTTACTATGGGAAATTTCATTTCATGCGCATTTTATGCAGTGCTTTTTTTTACTAAAAAAAATTTATTGTATCTATAAAAATTAAAAATAAGTCTATAACTACTCTATTCTTCATTCTTTCTATCCAAATGCTTACATCATCATTACCACTTCACCATGATGATATCAATTTGTATTTGGAGGATAATTTAGATTGTAGAATGGAATCATATCAGCCGATTTGGTTTTTTGGGCCTTTTTTCAAACCTTATGTCTTATTGTGTCTCGATGTTAAACATGAGTATTTTTAATGTGTAAACCGGTCAGTAGAATGATAATTAACCTAAAAAAACTAATTTACTATTCAACAGCCCGTCAAACCAATGGCCACTACCTCAAAACCAATGGTTTTGCTAGTATAAAGTATTCATAACGTTATGATCATACCGTATTGAATTTTGGGGATCAAACAAAATCAGCGCATATGTTTATACAGAGCGTCACATTTCTTTAATATTAAATGTGCTCATTTTACACCACCAATAGCTTGATTGAATTCATAACTATTACAATATTTATATCTGGCTCTATTTTTTTTTTTAATCATTATTAATTCCACCTAATTTGATAAAATGAGACCAAATATTTGATTTTGTCATTTCTTAAAAGCATTACCTTTATTACGGTGATGATGATTATGAATAAAAATTTAAATATGTCATACTTTTATTTTAACGTACTTATTAATCTTCATAAATTATTATATAATTAGTAAACCTTTTCTTTTTGGTGCAATTTTGGACCTTGTGAAATTTGTAATTTCAGCAGTTATGAAAACACTACCTTCCGGAAGTTAAATGAAGGATTCCTTGCAAAAAATTTTGTCCAACGAAAATAACAGAGAATTAATGGTCTTGTAGTATATATGATTTGAATGGTAAGAATAATAGGAAAATACATGAAGAAAATTTTTGTTTAAAATTCACCATTACATGAAAAAAAAAAAGGAAATTTTTTTACATAAAGTTGAATATAATGAATTAATAAATAAGTCATCAGAAAACACTCAACTTAAGGCAAGTAACTATCTGACTTGTACAATGTGATTAAGAGAAAATTATTTACATATCAAACTTATTTTAATATTATTGTTTATTTATTTTTAAAAGAAACAATTTTTAATAATAATTATTATTAGGAATAGTTTGGCATTGCATGATGATTTGACAATCATCACCAAATTTAAATAGAACTGGTGCACAATAACTTTTGTTGGCGAAATAAATATCTCTTAGGGACCGACGCAACCCTAATTACATGATGATTATTTGAATTTTGATTTCCCGTCGTTGTTGAAACTAATCGGCTAATTTCATAATTTCTCTTGAACTATTGACTAACTAGTTTGGACTTTCCGATCCATTACATTGGGCTCTTGAATAAATCGAGTTGCCTTCGGGTTTGTATATACATACTAATACAGCTTTTTTCATCAAGAGAATCCGGATCCCAATTTGATAACTTTGCTTGCCGTTTTCAAAAATGCAAGAAATATAAGTGTATATTTGAATTTTTTCTTGGCCTACAAATTCTTGTCATTGGTGTAATGAATTAATACTATCTCTAAGAAAGGCATATAGTGTAATTTTTTTTATACACAAATAATAATACAACTGTTATGTTGGCGGCGGGGTTGGTTAAAAATTCATGATAGGCCCCAAAATTATATGATCCTAAATAGGAAAGCTATAAAAAGTGCACTTGACAATTTACTTTTTAATTTCGTAGTTGTTATTACAAGGGTTCTATTTTCATTGGATTTCATTTTTGGTAATGCCGGCCGAGGAAATTTTTAATTGATGGTTTCAAAATAAAACTACTTTCTGGTGTTTATTCTTGTGGCAAATAAAGATTCGTGTTTCTCAAGGATCATAACCATAGCTACATATACTTCTACTTGAAATATTTTTATTGACTTTGTAAATGATAAGCTAAAAAATTGAATTGGCCTCTCTGATAACGAACTTAAAATAATTTTTACTATTTAAATTTCCCTCTATAACGTGATGACTTCTGAGAATGTTAAACTATTTCAATATTTTATTTTTATTTTTTGATGACAAAAATTATCCCAAACAGGCAAAACCAAGACCAAGAAGAGGAAGCAGTAATTGGCAAAGAAGCTTTGCTTGTTCCAAATAAAGAAGCTTTATAATACTAAATTTGTATATTGAACAGCAATCTGATAAGTAGAAATTATTAAAAATATTGATATAGAAACAAGTGTTTATTTATTATAAATAATCATTTTTAATATCTCATTTATACTATTATGACCATTTTATTATTAGTCAATTGATTACACATGGTATAGATGATAAAAATCACAAATCTCAATGTCTCTTTTTTTTTTTTTTTAGCAATTACGTTGTTTATTAGGAAAACTCATATATATAAAAAATAGATACTAATACTATCGAGCCAGCTGTTCACCGTTCGTTCCTTCAAGTTGAGAAATTCCCATATCTGAAAGTTATTATTATCAATATAAAACTTTGACCACCTACCATAAGTATCCGACCACCCAAGTCGTGTAACGTCAAATGAAAAGAGTCCTTACTAAAAAAAAGTAACGTTTTCTTAAATAAAACCGTTTTTACTTTACCAAGTAGACTTGTGCTTGATATCAAAATCTCTAAATTACAAAAGCTTCGAAAGCTTCGGTATAGTATTAAATGGAAACATTTAGCAAATAGTCCAAAAAAGCAAATTTTCAATCGGAATCTTTACATATATAATAAAGGTCAAATTTCTTCATTGTAATGTATATTATTTCATTAACAAAATGTGCTCAACGTAACATATTAGAAATATCCACAATATGGTATTGGCATAAATTAGTTTGTGAAAAGGGTTTAAAAAAGTATCCGACCACCCCATAATTTTATCATATAAAGCACTTAATAAAGTTGACAAAATGCAAATTTTAAGGCCTTACGTTTTGTTGTCTATACTTGATCAAATTTTCTCAAATTTTAACCATATATAATTCAAGGTATTTTAAGTGGACTTACTTAATGACGTAATCCATGATTCAACTAAGCTCAAAGTTTCCATAAAAATCACGGAATTTTTTGTCTAATTTAAAATTTTCATCCTAAATTCATTAATAATGCAAACTCGACGAGACTTTAAGTTTATATGCAAATTAACTTTTAAAACATGTTTACTTGATGCACCAGTCCCAGTTTGATTAATAAAATTTTGAACTGCATAAGGCGTAACATTTTCCGATTATTAAAATGATCATCAGGTGGTCGGATATTTATGGTAGGGGAGTGTATATCGACAAATTCAGTCGACAGATTTGTTTACAACAGTACCCCTGAATATAGGTAAACAAGGTTCACTTAGTTGCACCACAGCATATTCAGGAGCGTAATTTGGGGAACATATTCACAATACTGCAAGCGATATTAATATTCTCTAGAAAATCAGAAAATCTCCGTCAGGGGCTTTTTTCCCGAGTTTTCCAAAGGTTGAGGACTACTCCTTATTAATATGTTAATTGTTACCTGATAAGTTCTTTTTGAATTATATCCAGTAGAATAATAATCCACAATCTTTCAGCAACATACAGTAAAAATACTATCAAAGCTTTCGGTCCTATTTGACTAGCCATTCTTTCTTATAAGTTACAAAACGCGTTTATCGATATTTAGTATCAAGAAAACGAAACATTTCAACTTATTTTCTTTTGAAACAGCCATCGTCCTGGATAAACAATTACTATTAAATTTATATGTTTTGTGCTCAGATTTATATTAACATAATATCATTTTCTCCTTTCCGTAAATGCTCAATGTAATTGATTTCTCGTTTTGCTTGAGCTTTTTATTGGTTGTGATGTGCCGAACAGCCGCCAGATTCTCTCATTTTGAGGTGCTAAAAAAAATAGATGTCCCACCACAAGGAGGGTTTTAACCTTACATAATTGATCTAAGTAACCTAATTTAGAAAGATTTTCGAAATTTTTAAAAATTTCATCGTGCATTCTAAATTTCCGGTGTTATATTAATAGCAATAGTATTTCGTACCCTGAAAACACGTATCAGTATTAGAAAAATACTTTTTTAAACTCTATTTTTTTTAAAAAAAAACCAAATCAATTACATATAGAAAAATGCCAAAAACCAAATTTTCTGCTATTCAGAATCCAATTTATAATAAAGAAAACGTCAAGTCAAAGAAAAAAGAGGTAAATTTTTACGCGTCTATAATTAAATAAGCACGCGTAATATTGTTATTATTGCTTAATAAATCATGTGCATGTATTTAGTTATGGCCAAATAACGTACAAAAAGCATTTGAGGAAGGTAAATTGCATTTATAATACTCGTATCATTTATTATAATGAATTCGAATTTTTTATTTTTTTTACATATTAATTATATTTTTACTATTATTTAATTTGTAGCATATATTATGTATAGTTGGATGAATGATCGAGAAACAAAATTAATTGCAGGAAAGCATTATGGTAAATATCTTGATGATTATATGGATGAATATGTGGATAAAAATTAAAAATACTTTGATAAATAAATGTATTAACTAACATGCATGTATATACTGTATAATCAGGTCGAAATGAATTAATTGGATTGTATATTAAAGAGAAAACTAATGAGATACGAGATAGGAAACAAGTATCTTCTCACATACAAGTATTAAAAAGAAAGGTAATAAATAATATTAAATATAACGTTAAATATTAAAAATTAAAAATTAATCGAATAAATTAATATATGCGCGCGCCAATGTGTAGGGATTACTTCCAAAAGTTTCTAGTTCTACTATGAATACTATAAAGAATCAATCTCTTCTTATGACAAATGCTTGTGCAAATTTTATTTTCAACCAACCTGTATTTTCACCACCTTTATGGCCAAAGAAATTTACCATCTCTACAAATGTAATTAATTAATCAATCAATTGATTTTTTGATATAATTGTTAACTATCTATTTAATTATAGGGACTTACCACGGGAGAACATGTATTTATAGATACCAAAATTAATGGTTTTCATAAAATTAATCAAATTTCAATCAATCAAATACCAATTGAAAGATCTGATATGATAATCAAACTATATAAAGAATCGACATGTCACATGTTATTTTTCAAAGTAAATTTAAAAATTTTTTTTTATCACAATAAATTTATCCATCAATTCATCTATCCATAATAGCATAATATTCATTTATTTAGGTCAAGTTTCATGCTGGCCAAATTCCGGATTATGTTAAAATTGACAATGTTTTAAACATGGTGTCTGAGTCGAGCACACAACAAGTATTATTACAAACAAAAATATTTTTCAAGACTAAAGAAATACGTAATGAAGAAAATATATTTTGGGTGGACAAAATAAATAAAAAGGGCAATTACTCCCTTTCATTTTCACCTAAATTCATGAATTCATTAATTAAAGAAGCTAAATCAAAACCAAAAGACAAAATAGATGTATTTTTTCAAAAGCTTGTGATTATACAAGTATGTAGATAGATAGATGTACATATTTTATTTTCATTATAGTAATAATTTATTAATCATCATTATTCCTCTTTTGTAATTAAAATAACAATCTTAGACATTTACAGATCCAATTTCCAAGACATTATTATTAAATGTAGTTTATCAATTCGAATCAGGATATGGGGCAGGAGATGATAGCACATCACAAATCTTTTTGATAATGCCTAATGAAGAAGTTAAGTTTACACAACAACAAAAAGAAGTAAAAGAAGATGATGATGACAAAAAAGATAAAAAAGATAATATAAATACAATTGCAGATATTATGAATACAAATACAGAAAATGTAAATAATCCGGATACAGATATTATGAATATATGCATAGATGTTATGAAACCGGATACAAATACAAATACAATTGCAGACGTTATGAATACAAATTCAAATATTGCAAATCCAAATATTATCATGACAGAAAAGTGTGAATTATTGCAAAATGCATTAACAACAACGGCATCAACATTTCTTGATAGTAATTTCAATAATTTGTTTGGTTCATGTGGTGGCGGCGTTGAATCACAACTATACCAAACATCATCATTTTTACCACCTAAAAGTAACGACAGATATTTACAACTATACGCAGCAGGCAATATAATTACTGGAAACGGTAATGATTTATCTTCAGAATCAGATGATATGATTATTGAAAAATATATGAATTGCAATGATTTGTCACCTCCATCATCTTCATCACCACCATCGTTATCGTCAACTTTATCACCGCCACCGCCATTATTATTGTCGTCAAATTTGTCACCACCGCCACCGTCATCGTCTACAATTAGTAGTAATGGTAGTAAAGAAATAGAAACAATAAGATCAGAGTTTGATTCGATAATAGCCGAAGTTATGAAGGAAAGTGAGAATATTGTTTATTCACTTAATGATCAATTTGTTTGGGATCCAAATATCACTATACAAATCAAACCCAACAACAACAACAACAACAACAACAACAACAACAACAACAACAACAACAACAACAACGACGACGACGACGACAACGACGACAACAACGACGACAACATCAATATCAACATTTATAGTAACAATTGTAATAATAATGGTTTTGGCAATCATGATAATTATGATTATAGTACCAATAATTGTGCTGGCTATAATACCAACACTAACGCTACCTATAATGATACCAACTACGATAATGATAATAATTACTATAATGATTACGCAAACTATGGAGGAGACTTTGGTGATTCATTAATAATTAATTCATTAAATTCATTTTGTTAATCAATCAATCAATCAATCAATCAATTAATTCAAATTTATTATTTATTATTTATTTGGTAAATAGATTGAATTTGGAAAATTTTACTTCTTTAATAAAAATTTTTTTACCATATTAAAGAAAAAAAGCTTGAATACTATCAAATAATCAAATTTTCTTTATTATTGTTACTATTGTTATTATAATATTCAAAATAAATAACTTCCTAACCTCATCATCATATTAACATCAAAACATCCTTGACTACAATAATATGATGCAATGTGATGCGGTTTTCTTTTTTATTTCATTCAATCCTCCATAAAAAATTTTGTTATTTAAATTAAACAAACAAAGTAAAAAATCAAGTAAAAATCAAGTAATATCTGAAACAAATCCGAAACAGTATTAAAAACAAATTTGTATGCCCGTGTTGGCATAGTGGAAATTTGAAATGTTACATTAATTTTTTATGTTGTGCAACGTAGCTTTACAATACACGGCAAACATTCTGGCAATAAAAAAGTGATAACTGAATTTGAATTGGATCTACTTGATCTCCAATTTAGAGAAGTTTCAGGAGCAATGAGTGTCTGTATAACATTTCGTGTAACAACAAATTTCCACTATGCTGTCCGTGTTACATTCCTATTTTATTCCATATTTAGTAAAATGTGGGGTACGTAAAATTGGATTGGTTCATTTTTTCAAAAACCAAAATAAATATATATATATATATTGTATATATATATAAATTTAAGCATAGTGGAGGTTTGTTGTTACACGAAATGTTATACAGAACTCATTGCTATATTAATATATATAGTCAAATTCAGTTATTACTTACTTTTTATTATTATTGCCAGAATAATTGCCGTGTATTGTAAAGTTACGTTGCACAATATAAAAAAATCAATGTAACATTTCAAATATTTCCAATATGCTATATATTAAAATAATTTTATTTTTCAAAGAATTTTACAACATGATGATTTTTTTGAAAAATAAAATAAAATAATATATTTATGAATGAATAAAAAAGATTTAAATGAAAAATAAAATATTTACAATTTAAAAACAATATATATATATGAATATGTATAACATGTGTAATTAACTATTATTATTATCGTCATCATAAAGCAGGATGTTCTTGTGGATGATAAGGGTGTTGATGAAGATGATTGTGAGGTGGATGTCGACGTTGTTGATAGATGAAATCGCCTTTTTTATTATTATAATAATTATATTTTTTACTATTACTACTGATACCATGATTATTATCATCATCATCGATCAAATCAAGTGCTATTAAAATATCGCGTAATCTTCCACTTCTATGCATTATTGCCAATTCATAGCTACCACCAATAGATTTACCGTCAATAAAAATATTTGGAAATGTTGATTGATAAGTTAATCTGATTAAAGTTTGTTTGACTTGTTCCGAATCATCTAAATAATAATAATAATAATAATAATATAATAATAGTAGGATTATTATTATTACGAATATTAGTTGGAATTTTAATTAATCCATTAATTTATGAAGATAATTTACCTCTTTCGTCCACTTCAATTACTGAAATATGTGGCAAGACATCATAAATTGAAAAAATATGTTTTGCCCTTCTTGAATATCTGATTAAAATAAAAAGGTTAATTAAAACAACACAACACATAATATATTGACATATATCTCTCACTCATATACTTACGGACAATAAGATTTACTGAAAATAACAATTGGACTTTCATTAATTAATTTCTCAATTTCGATTTCCAAATTATCTTCGCTCGTATTATTATCTTTAGTATTTGAAGAAATATCATCAGATCCTCTATTGTTGTTAATACTACTTATACTATCGATATTATTACTAGCAATATCATTTTCACTTTCACTTTTGTGATCATGAAGATTGTGAAAATTTACATCCTCTTCATCTTCTTCGTCATCATCATAAAAACTATGAATTCCATGATGACTACCACCAAAATGGTTCGCAATCTCTAATCCTTGTATTCCCTCCTCACCATTATCACCCATAACACTGGCTGCAACAATTGCAACTTTGGAACTTTTATAATAATGAGCACCATGAAAATTAACTTCTTTTCCATCAAAATTTGTTAATATCCATAATGAACATAGGAATATAATTAATGTTATACATAACACTCTAAGACTTCTTGCTCTAAGAAAATGATCACTATATTCTATAAATATATCATTCTTTTCATTTATAAAGAAAGAATTATCGAAATCCTTTTCATCATTAGTCACATTAGAAACTATTGCGGTGAGTATGTTGCTATTGCTATCGATTTGTTTTGATGATGGTATATTGTTGCTGTTATTGTTGTTATTGTTGGAAGGTGGTTGATTATGATACATTGGCAATATTGATGACATTTGTTGTGGTGGTTGCGGCTGTGGTTGTTTTTGTTGTTGTTTACTCATTTTTTTTTTTTTTCCTTTAGTTTTCTCAGAAAATAAAAAAAAAAAAGGTGAAAATGTTAAAGTATGAATGTAGATAAAAATAATTTTTCTTTTTGTAAATAAAATTTTTTTTCGAAATAAAAAATATTTTTTTTAAAAGAGAGTAGATTTTTTTTAATTATTGTTTTTAAATATTTTAATACGTTAATTATTTTAATATACGTTAATTATTTTTAATATACGTTATTTTATTATTATTTTATTTTAATAATTTATTAAACATCGAAGATTAATAAATCATTAAATAAAATAAAAATAAGAAAATGCAAGTTGTTTATATAAAAATCTAATATCAGAGCTTGGCAAAGTTTGGACGACTATTTACTAGTTATAAATTATAAATTACTAAATCAATAATATTTGGATAAATAAATAAATAAATCTAATCAAAAAAAAGCCCATCATTCAATGAAAATATATTTCATATATTTATTTATATATACATATTAATAATAATAATATAATATTGTTTACCAAATTATATAGATTAATATAAAAAAAAAAAGTGCAAAAAGAAAAAAAAAATCAGTAAAAACTCTTTTTACCAATAAACACTAATACTAAAGCTCTATATTTTTTTTCTTTATTTTCACACGCTGATTATTATTATTAAAAAGATTTTTGACCTTGGGAGGTAGGTAACTTAATAAACAGTCATTTTTAATATAAAAAAAATAATAATAGGGGTTATTGGGATCTACCAATAAAATAAATCAACCAACCCCTCGTGATCAATTCATTTTAACTTTTTTGACTTTTAACCTTAATATTCGTGTTTAAAATTATGTTTATTTTGATTACACAGTTTTTTCTTTTATAATGAAGTTCTTTATTAGGTTACAATACTGATTGTTTATTTATTTGTTCTTTCAAGGCTTTCTAATATTAATTGCTAATTTTAACGATGGTTATTAAAGATCTATCAATGCTTTTAAATTAAAAAGAAAATATATTTTGGATAATATGTCAAATATTTGAAGAGTATATTATAAATAAATTCTATTCATGATTCCTATTTCAAATTGGACTAGTTGCTGACTGGTAGGTAGTCTTATTCAACATTTTGCGACGGCTGCAAATGCTTCATACACCTCGTTTTAAATTCGTGAAGCTCGCAATCGCCGTCCACTATTCATCTAACAATAATAATAATAATTTCTTCTGACTTGTTATGTAGTTGGATATTACCAAAGATGGTAATAGTACAGTGACGCAGCAATCACATGCTGTATTATCCACCATAAAGATATAGTAGTGTAACGATTTATTTATTATATGTTGAACCCGTTTTTTAGATGGAATTGAAATGTAAATGAATGAATAATGATTATTTTATATATTATAAAATACAATAAATTTAACACAGTGATTTTTTAAAATTTTATATATATATCCCTTCTTGTTTTCTTATTTCCCCAACACTCATATGATTTTCAAAATCCATTTATTAATTTCCTTATTTTTGTTGTGAGAAAATTCTTTCTTGAACATAAAATAAAAAGAAAAAATTTCATCATTACCCAAACTTGTTTTCACAATTGAATAAAGTCCAATTCTGTATGTTTGTAAAATTGAAGATAGGATTTTACCAAGCTCCATTCTTCTATAAGTTTTCTTTTTCATGAAAATCATATACTTAGTTTCACCATAAAATTGACCTAGAAACTTTATCTCATTATCAGGAAGTTCTTTTGGATCAAAAATATTACAAAGAGAAGTATAAGTTAGGGAAAATTGATTCTATTGTTGCCAATGAGTCTTCTTTTAACAAACAAAAGTACTAACTGATTATCTTCATCTAAATATTATACCCATAAATCCAGATGTTATATCTTTAATAGTGTTTTCAAGGGCTAATTTAAATTTTGGTATTAATAGATTTTCTAATTGAAACATATTGATTAAATATTTGTTAAACCACCAAAATATAAATCTAAATCTAAATATGGGAGCTATAAAATCCTATGGCTGGTTTTTTTAGCTTTCCGTGATAAAATAATCACAGGACCAGTCACGTGATAAAATCAAAATTTGTTTTTGAAAAAGATGCTAAACCTTTTTTCAGTTTCAGAGTTTCGAAATAGTTTTTATCTGAATAAAGTACAATCTTTTGACGCAATTGAATACTAAATCAATTAAATTAATTACGAATATTTAGAATAATTTGAATAACTCTTATTCGAATAGAAACTCTAAAAATAATTGTACACTCGTTTTTTGTTGTTAATATAAATTAAACGAACGTAAAACTTTTACGTATATTATTATTAAAAATCCCACTCGTCTCTACATCCTCGGGATAAAACCCTTTTTTCAATATTCTTAAAAAACCTCCGCATAATAATAGATATGTTCTTTGACATTTGTTTCATGACGCAAAATAAGAACCACTTTTTATAGTACTAAAGCATAGTACCATTTTTTTTAATACAAAATCTTCAATTAGTAAAATTTATGACTTTTCCTGATCCCTATTTAGAGTTCACTCGGATTGTCGATTAAATTCTCTGCTTTATTGGGGCCTAACTAGTAGTATTGATATTTAGCAAGAAAATATTTGGATATGATAATCTAGAATCAACTAGAGGTTGGAACGGCTAAAAGATTCTAACCGGTTAAAAACCGGTTAAGTATATAAAAAATATAATAATAAGCAGAGATTAACTTATAAATGTATATTTCTTTTAAATAATGAACAATTCTTATGTCTACTCACTATGAATCAACTATTGTATTATCTTTTCCTGTTGAATGAAGCCTT